TAAATAAAGTCAAAATGTGTCCGATCTGCCTTTTTTGTTACATAAAAATTCAAAACGATCGTTTTAAGGTCAATTTCGTCTACCTCACAAAATCTTGTTAGGCACTATAGTAACTGCTTTTTACATGATTTATATTCCTTAATCGGTACCAAGACGGACGAAATCGTGCTTGCTTTCTATATAATCCTATATTTATGTACGTATTGAAAGCGATAGACATGATTAACCTTGAACGTTAACGATCTATTTTCTTACACGCCAGGATAAGTGTGCTTGGTCATATAAAAAGGGGATTTCGAACTGGAAAAACGAATTTGAACTGAGCATCAGAGAATATAGGTAAATACTTTGACATACAAACACAAATACCGAAAACCATTAAAAACATAGTGTACTTTTATTTATTGTATTGATTTAATGATAATATAATTTCTATTTCCTGAAGATAGTTTAGTTATTTTTTTGTAAGAAAATATTGACAAATGTATTTAGGCGTTGATTGAATTTATCTAAAAACTATTGTTGTCCAAATAAAGGCAACAATTATAACAATTGTAAATAGAAAATAGCAGTAATAAAGAAAAAAATATATTGATTATAACGTTTTTCGGTCAGACAAACCCTAAAACAGTTTGGCACAGACTGTATTTCTTCAACATTTTCTAACACAATATCTTCAACTTCACTTCACACAGTTCACTCTAAAATTATGCTGAAGACAATACTCTTTCTTATGCAAATAGGGATATAAAACAGTTATTTGTACACTGGAAAAAGACAGGTTCCTCTGATAGACTGGTTCTCCTTCAATCAATTGAAGGCAGATTCTGAAAAATGTCAAGCTTTGGTGATTGGGAAAAAAAAACATTTGACAAAACATTACATTTGACCTGGCCGGTATGAAAATGAAACGTGAAAAAGAGGTTAAATTATTAGGCATACCTTTTCATTGTGAACTAAATCTCAACACTCATATCCCCGATAGAGGTAGAACAGTGAATAATCAAATTCCAATATACCTACATAAATTTATATACATTACAGAAACAAAATATCAGAACTTAGCTCAAAATGCCTGCAGTTAGAACCACAAGGTATGGCTTGCCATCCTTCGGATATTCTGCAGCCAAATTATGGAATGAGTTTCAAAACCATTTTAGAGCTGAAACATATATTACTCAATTTAAAAGACTAGAAAACTCCTGGAAATGTAACTCATGCCATTGCAGTGCATGTGCTAGGTATTAATTTTTTATGTTCAAATTACAGCTTTAAATTATAGTAGTGCTGCTTATCATACTCCCGTTCTTATTTGTGTTTTATCTGCTTAGTGTTATTTATAAATTAGTGCAGACTTTCCTTTAGTGTTTTGTGTTGCTGCTTTTATGCTTAGTATAGTCTAGCTTAGTGCTCTTTTGTGCATGCATTTAATGTGTATTATTGCGTTAGCCTAATTAACTCAGTCCAGATTTGCCTAAATGTGCTTGTCTCATTGGCACTCATACCACATCTTCTTATATCTATGAAATATATGTTGAATGTCTTTTATGCTTTAATATCTGTATTGTGTATATAGAAATAAGAAGATGTGGTATGATTGCCAATGAGACAACTCTCCATCCAAGTCACAATATGTAAAAAGTAAACAATTATAGGTCAAAGTACGGCCTTCAACACGGAGCCTTGGCTCACACCGAACAGTAAGCTATAAAGGGCCCCAAAATGACTGTTGTAAAACAATTCAAACAGGAAAACCAACAGTCTAATCTATATAAAAACGAGAAACGAGAAACACTTAAGAACCACATCAACAAACGACAACCACTGAAACAGGTTCCTGAATTAGGACAGGTGCAAACAAATGCAGCGGGTTTAAACGTTTTAACAGGCGCCAACCTTCACCCTAACCTGAAATAGTAGTGTAACATTACAACATAGAAAGACACACTATAAAATATCGATTTAAATAGCTTAACTCAATCAAAAAGACATATTAATAAAAACAAGTAAACATACACTGAACGAATAAATTTGATCTATGACACAATGTCAAAAAGACAACTATATCCTTGGACAAATGGCATTAAATAAAATAACGTACTCAAGTAAATTTAAATATAATAATTTTGTTGTTAGAAGTAAAGAGACATTTTTTAAAAAATAAATAAATTTGTTGTTCATAGTACGAGAACAGCAGTGAAAATTTATCGTCATACTAAATATTTATCAAAGGTGGTACATATTAAAATAGTGAGACGAGATATAACACAAAATAAGTAAACATTGAATAACAAAAATGCATTACTAATTGTGTAACCGGTCAAATTATATGCATGTATTTGTCGGTTATAAAAGCTAAAAAAAAAGCTTATGTAATTGTTCTATGACATGCCAACTTAAAGTAAAATAAAGCTTTTGATTTAATTTGAAATTGTTATAAATGTGGACCATAATAAGGTTTTAATTACAATTCGCATAATTTAGAATAAATTACATTTTTGAATCAGTATAATCATAATAGAAATCTGGTCCTTCGGTTGTCAGTATAAGGTTCATAAACACAGACAGAGGTCACAACTTTTAGAACCAATCTGATACCTTACAAGTTAATTGAGATATTTTTTTTCCAGTTATTGAAAGACATAAATCGATAGGTATTTGACGAAAACGGGATGCATAAATACGCAGCAATGTCTGGTCGGAGTGGGAATGATATTAAGATGCCTCTTTAAAGTGTAAATGCCACGATTACTGCACGAGCTTGTACATAAAAACAATACATACAATATGTGTCTCTCTGTATTAAAAATACCCCAATCGATTAGTAAATGGAAAATAGCAGAAACTAAGAAAAGGATAATAAAAATGAATATAAAAGGCAAGTACCACTTCCTCAGACACGTATATAATAGGACTGCACTAAAACATGTTAGAACTCAAAACTTATCGAATTGTCAATTCAATATATTCGAAACTATTCTAAATTTGAGGGTTTTTTTCTCTCGCCCCCTTTTCCCTCCTCTCTATCTCTCTTACCCAATGCAATTTTTGGGTATAGAAATTTAAACAAGTGTCTCCCCAATTAAAAAAGGAACCTTAAATACATCCAGAAAGTGTTTCGTTCATTAGCGCTGGGTCTATACCGCTACTGCTGAACTGGTAGTCCACTAGAGTATCATTTGCTTAGTAGTTAGTGATTTATAACCTGTATACTTATTTAAAATGTCTCGTTCATAAATTAAGAAATTATTGAAAATCAAGGTTACAACTCCATCATGCAAAGTTGACCTTAGATTAATTTGACTATTCTGAATAGTTCCTAACGTTGCAACGTATTTACGCATCCCTAGCTTTCAAATGTTTAGTTTTGAGCGTTCCTGATGAAGGTTCATCCAGAAAAGCGCTTCAGACGCAAAACCTTTATTACCTGTTCATTTCATTAAGTAGTCCGCATTTGCACGCTTTCAGACGAATCAATGATTCCTTCCAACTTTGATGAAATATAAAGCTTTTTAGGGTTTCCAGACAGCTAAAATATGACAATGCAATGTTCCATATGCCTCATACCTGTCTAGGTGATCCCTATTTGCAAAATCTACCGTTTAAATTTATTCTTATTTTGTAGCAAACCACTTACTGTTCATGTCGTGAATATGAATGAAATAATTGCCACTGGACGTTGCAGTACTTCAGATTGAACCATCATTTTTTCAATATATAAATTTAAGCATGGCAGCTTTAGTTACAATATTATATTTTTTTAATGTTGTGCATTGATATATGTCACTTTCAGTACAAATTCTTTGCATAAAAGAAACCCAGTAAATTCTAAGCAATGATATGCAAAGTGTTCTGTAGACTGCCGTTGACAGTGCTCATACCGATTATATTGGACTTTCTCAATGTTCCCTTCATATTTCATTGCGTGTTCATGGCTGGAGAATGATACTTTCTCTTCCTTAAAAAATAAAAACCTTTTGCAACAAGTCTGTGAGGGGTCCGTAGTAGGCGTGTTGCAATACAGTAGCTGCAGAACGATACCATTGCAAAATTGTACAAATATTTAAAAAGAATGACCAACGTAAATACAAATATCTTGTTTAAGGGAGGATAAATCGTACTGTGTAAAAGAAAAATACTCCTATTCAAGGAAAAAGTTCTAAGAAACTGACATTATCAAGCTGGTTGGTTTATAGATTGACAAAAAAAGGCAACAGTAGTATACCGCTGTTCGAAATTCATAAATCGATTGAGAAAAAAACAAATCCGGGTTACAAACTAAAACTGAGGGAAACACATCAAATACAAGAGAACTACGACATAACAGAAACACAACATTAAAATGTAACACACACAGAAACGAACTATAATATATATCAATGGCCATTTCACTGACTTGGTACAGGACATTTGAAGAAAAAATGGTGGGTTGAACCTGGTTTTGTGGCTAGCCAGACCTCCCGCTTTTATGGCAATGTTAAATATAACATTAAAATGACAACATTACATGACAGGACTACAATACAAATAAATGGGAGAACATATAGGACAGAGAAACATACGAATAATAGCTAACAAAAGGTACCAGTTTAAAATTTAATACGCAAGACGAGCGTTTCGTCAACACAAGACTAACCAGTGACGCTCAGATCAAAAAAGTTCGAAAGCCAAAACAAGTACAAAGTTGAAGAGCATTGAGGACCAAAAGTTCAAAAAAGTTGTGCCAAATACGGCTAAGGTTATATGTCTGGGATAAGAAAATCCTTAGTATTTAGGATAATTCATACTTTAGCAAACAGTAAATTTATAAAAATGACTATATAATAGATATACATGATAACACCGAAGTGGTGACTAACTATAGAATAAAATCGGATACATAAAGCAACATAAACCAGCACATAAAAATTCACAGCCGAGTTAGCCAAAGAGATCTACGCAAAAAAAGTGAAGTCACATTTGAATTTCTGAAATTTACCCAAAAAAGGATAGAATTAGGATAGAATTCAAGATTTGGTTTATAATACTCATATAACATTTATTAATAACAAAGAAAATTACAATACTAATTAATATAAAATGTGGTAGTAATTAGATAATAAATAGTATTATCTAGCTATTTCGGTGTTTCATCTAAATCAAACTGTAATCCAAATGTATCGTATTAATTTAGGTGACCCAAACTAAAATCTAATTAATGAACTGGGTGATTAATTATCTTAACCATAACACACGAATACAACAGAAAAAAATAAGATTTACAACTACAAACGATAAGACATTTGACAAAATCCGATGAGAATAACAAATATAACATCAAAACTAAATACATGAATTTGGATAGAATAGTACCGTGACACGTCTTATAGCAATGCGAATTCACACTCAGCAAAACAGTCACAATCGGAAATAAGTCACGTTCGGTAATTAAAAGATCAGACGACGTAATGTCAAACCACAATCTAACACGTGGTAAAAATGTCCTTAGTTATTTTGGACAAAGACACATCGTATGGATCGAGCAATTCGTGATGGTGTCCGTAAAATTTACGGAGTGTCATTTTTAATCTGTCCTCCTCATAACTTTGTTGGAGCAGTTTCTGCGTTAGGAGCACACTCCTGTATATGAAGTCCGTATAGTGTGAACATGCACGAGCATAACGTATCAACTGAGATATGTAAACACCATACGAAGGGGCAGAGGGTATGTTACTGCTGAGAAATGGGAAATTGATAATTGGGAAGTTGAAATCGTCCCGTTTATCATAGATTTTCGTGTGAAGTCGTCCATCTGTGTCAATATATATATGTATCTGTTGTAAATAAACATCGGTTTGGTTATATGTACGTATGTCTGTGGTGTCTTACTTCAATTGCGATATCTTAATGTTTTTGATATATGGAGAATTCGTATTGCTGTCTCATTGGCGTATTTCATCCACATCATTGATGTATCTTTGCATTCCGTAATTTCGCGGCCACGTCATATCATGTCGGAATGTTGATGTTTAAATCGATGCCTCATGTAGGGTTATTAACATGGTCTCTGCACGTTTCATTGCAACAACTCTCTGAGGAGTCGGTAGAAGATCTGTTACAAAATTATTTTATGTCTACCTGTGCGAATTTCAAACGCGCGATTTTACGCCAGTACTTAAAACCTTCCATCCTTTATGGGTTGATTTCACATAGATAAATAAAATCGTATAATAAAAAAGCAAAAGGAGGATGTTGAATTTGATGTATGCCTTTGTGTGCTTCTTCGTTACATTTTTTTGTTTTTATAGTGATTAAGATGATAACACAATGTTGACTGCTGTACCCCTATTTTTGACATTTTTACCTATTGTGTCTGTTTGTTTTGTTCACGCATCGTTGTCAATATAATGGAATTTGATGCGACTGTCATACAAGTGAGAGGTTTAGCTAGCTATAAAACCAGGTTCAATCCACCATTTTCTACATAAGAAAATGCCTGTACCAAGTCAGGAGTATGACAGTTGTTATCCATTCGTTTGATGTGTTTGAGCTTTTGATTTTGCCATTTGATTAGGGACTTTCCTTTTTGAATTTTCTTCGGAGTTCAGTATTTTTGTGATTTTACTTTTTGCAAAGCAAAATGTCTTTCCTTTTCCAACATATCTTTATTTTCCAGTGGCAGTCCAAATTTCCCGCTCTTTGTACGTGTCGTCTGTCTTGCAGAACCTACATATTTATTGAATTCAATGTTAAATTGTTCTCGACCTTAATATGTATGAAATAATTGCTACTGGACTTTACACAAGCAGCAATCAATTAATCAGTCATTGAACAAATTGTTAATGGTAATCTCAACCGTACATTATTGGTATAGCTTTTAAAGAATAGCGATCACTGCATGACGAAGATATTTACAACTACACACCTACACACTGAAACCAAATATGCCTTGCTCCAATGTGAATGGTATTAAATCAAATACAGAGGCAAATCAACGAACGTGTTTTTTCCATACCAATTTTATTCTTTTAAGTTTACAAAATGATGGAATATATGATTTTGAATATAATATCTGTGATGTAAAATGTACATTAACTTTTATGATAACAATGTTACAGTTTTTGCTATAATTGTAAACTTAATATTCATTATTTTACATTTTAATATACACATTTTTCTATGATTGGATTTACATTGCTAAGCTTTATAAGGTATGCCACTGCCATTGCCGTAGTTGTATCCGTAGCCTTTGTTATCCTGTGGTTGTCCATATGACGTCGGTCCTTGCGTATACGGCTGTGTTTGTGGATAACCGGTCATTGCAACATCTGAAAACACCTGACCCCCTTGGGCTGGTCTAGCAGCGTTGTGCTGGCAGTACATGCAACTTGTACATATCATTATGATCCCACAAAGAATGGCACCAAGACCACTTAAAATTAAAGAATATGGAACGATCATTGTTATGTTTGTGTAAGTTGAAATTAATATCACACTGCTAAGCCAACGTCCGACTGCTACAACTGTAGATATTCCTGAAAAAAAATGAGAATTTTAATATGCACTGTTAACAATTATTTACCACAATTATACTTTTGAATGATAATTTCGACACGGTCACCAGAAAATGTATGTCATACACTTGAAAAAAGAGAGTTCGGTTTTGACGGTTTTTGCATTTACATTAAAAGAGTTGTGCCCCTAAATTTCTGAAAATTTTGTTTTTGTTTCTGGATGATAGTAAAAGGTCCACTTGAGAGAACTGTTCTGAATTTAAACATAATGTCATGAACCATGAAATATACAAGTCGGGTTCGATTTTGACATTGGAGATTTACCATTTAAGGATGTACTTTGGTGAAACTTAAAAAATCTAGAATTTAGAATGATACTATAAGTCAAAAAAGCATTAGTTAAAGAACAAAATAAGCTAAAAATATTGATAGGTTATGGAGCTCCTTTTCGAGATATTTATTTTTTTTAAATGGCGGGGAAAGGCTGACTCGGACTTTTACCTTATATTTGCATTGGTATTATTTGGGTCTCAAATCGAAAGAACAGAAATCTAGAATCTGCTTGAATTTTAATAAATGACCTTTTATGAGCTATTGAAGTCTTATATGAAAAGAAAAATGGGTGTTATGAGGCAAAATATTTTACCCTGTATCGTAGGAAAAAAACCAAGCAGTCCGAACATCTGATAAAAATTCCTAAACCTTACCTATGTACATCCTTCAGAGTTATGCTGCCAAGGGATTATCTGTTATTAACTATATCTGGTTGGGGATGTATATCGCATTCATACTAAAATTCGGGTAGGTACACACATGCTTGTCCTAAGCGTTATCTTTGACATATAGGGAATGCTAACAGATCGCTTAAGACGATTTGCCAACATTGAACATCACAGCAAGAAGCTCGAGCCATGTATGCCCATTTGCATCAGGGTATCAACTGCTCGAGTCAAATAAAATATATTGGATATATAGGCTTTATCTAAGACAAGAAAAAGGACTTCCCGAAGTTGATATCAAAGTGTGCCTTGATCTAAATCTTGACAGAGCTAGACACGTCGATTGCATTGTACTCACTGCGGCATTGTTTTCACATGATCACCCTCCTCCCCCATAAAACTGATTTCGTTTCCACTTTATAAAATCGTGTGATAAATAGGCGTTAAAAATTATTTTTAATAAGTAAAAATATATTATAAATGTCAAAATCAAAGTTCACGCAAACCCCAAAAAACTGCAAATACCGCAGGTTCAAAATGTGCACATTCCGAGATACTAAAAGAAAACAGAGTTATTTTTCATATTAACTTAGATTTACCAGAAATGGTATTATTTTTAATGGCATCAGGCATTTTAATAATCAGATACATAAACATAGATCGTATGCTCTATTATTATTTCTAATGAAAACACCGGAAAAACCGTCAAAGGGATCGATCTGGAAAATTGCGCAAATGAGGAAGTAGTGACAAAAAAACATGTGAAAAGATCAAGGATTACAAGACAGTATTGTCCACTTTAAATACATTTAATAAATGTAAAGAGGATAAACAGATAAATAAATGGTGTTTTAAACAGGTGCTGATTGTGAATTTGTCCTCTTTCATAGGTAGCACTTCCCACTAACTATTTTAAAGAAAAATCCGTATTACCTAAAAAAAAAAAACATTCCCTTCATAAGTACTACATGATATTCAGTACTACATGTTGCTAATGAAAAATAAATTTGATACAGATTGGTACTTTTACATGTGTTTTGTCAAATTTTCCATAGTAGGGCGTCGTTAACCAAATGAATTGATTTGTATCCGACAGACAATACATAGTTTTATCTTCCAGCAGAATTTTGGTTTTGGTTAATAATGTCCTTATACATTTTTTTTCAATAAATACTAAAAATGTGCCTGAACTCTATCAAAATATTGTTTTGGGCTATGTTCGGGCGTTTAAAATTTGACGATCTGTTATACCATAAGCCATGATATTGTTAGGACCTTAAAGTTATACCATAAGCAATGATATTGTTAGGACCTTAAAGTTATACCATAAGCCATGATATTATTACGACCTTAAATTTATACCATAAGCCATGATATTGTTAGGACCTTAAAGTTATACCATAAGCCATGATATTGTTAGGATCTTAAAGTTATACCATAAGCCATGGTATTGTTAGGACCTTAAAGTTATGCCATAAGCCATGATATTGTTAGGACCTTAAAGTTATACCATAAGCCATGATATTGTTAGGACCTTAAAGTTATACCATAAGCCATGATATTGTTAGGACCTTAAAGTTATACCATAAGCCATGATATTGTTAGGACCTTAAAGTTATACCATAAGCCATGATATCGTTAGGACCTTAAAGTTATACCATAAGCCATGATATCGTTAGGACCTTAAAGTTATACCATAAGCCATGATATCGTTAGGACCTTAAAGTTATACCATAAGCCATGATATCATTAGGACCTTAAAGTTATACCATAAGCCATGATATCGTTAGGACCTTAAAGTTATACCATAAGCCATGATATCGTTAGGACCTTAAAGTTATACCATAAGCCATGATATCATTAGGACCTTAAAGTTATACCATAAGCCATGATATCATTAGGACCTTAAAGTTATACCATAAGCCATGATATCATTAGGACCTTAAAGTTATACCATAAGCCATGATATTATTAGGACCTTACAGTTATACCATAAGCCATGATATTATTAGGACCTTAAAGTTATACCATAAGCCATGATATTATTAGGACCTTAAAGTGCGCATATTGGGATGTGATACTATAAATTTAAGCAAATCTTGAAAGACTTTTTAAAAATTGTCATTGCCTGAAATACATGCAGGTGAAATTGCCCCTACATGTACCTCTTTGTATCTTTTGGTCAGCCAATTTGACGGGAAAATCAAAGTCGTTGTTAAATATGAGGCAATGATGGGAACATAAACAAATCCATTGAAGTTACAGAAATGACTTGATCCAATACAGTAATACAGGATGTGAAAATAAGTCCCGTGGTACAATATTGTAAATATTGATAAGAAAAGACGACCGCTAGATTCTGGAAGTGTTGAATTTTATTTTCCGAAAGCATCCCGATGTTGCTGTCTATTTTTAGATGCTTCAAACCCATTTTTGTGATAAAGCCCTTTACTACTGACCTGCTATAATGTACATTATGATAATAGCAACCAAAAATCCATTCGTCCCTTCTTTCTTGTATATAAAAGTCAGTATAACTGATATAAAACATAAGACTATTCCCAGGATAGTTTCTATCTGGTATTCAAGAAATCCCAAACCTGAAAATAAACAGAATTTATGTTTATGACAAAATTATAAATATGATTGCAATATAAAATACGATTGTCTCTGGTTGCTGCATGTTTCGTAACAGACATAGTAGCACGAATATTGTCCTCCTTTCCTCGAATGTGAGCTACCGAATTAGACTTATCACCGGATTTGTACTTGCATGGGCAACAAGAGAGGTGTCACATGGGGAGCATGGTCTGCTGACCTTCCGGAGCACCCGAGATCACGTCAGGTTTTTGGCGGGGTTCTTGTTGCTCAGTCTTTAGTTTTCTATGTTATGTTTTGTATACTGTTGTTTGTCTTTTGGTCTTCTTCGTTTTTTGCCGTGGTGTTGTCAGTTTATTTTCGACTTGTGAGTTTGAATGTCCCTTTGGTATCTTTCGCCACCCTTCAGTTTGAGTCTCATATTTGACTAACTACATCAGCATCAACTCTTCCCCGACTTGATCCAAATTATCAGTTAATTAAGATTCATTAGTGTAAAGATGACCACAAATTCAGACACTTTGTAAATCAGTGTATTACATTTGCGCGAATCACCATTACATTTGCGCGTAAAAATAATTTTTATTACAGCTTCAGCTTTTTATTACATTTGCGCGCATTCATTTTTCCAGTAAAGATAGGTCAACTATTTTTATTTATTTGTTTAATTATCTTTTTCAAGTACCCCTTTATAGTCTTAATCTGTTTCTCGCTAACGAGGAGACAGAAGTCGGATTACGAGCCGGATAAATCTGTTTAATTATGCACAAGCATTAAGTCCTGGAAATATACACAGATAGAAATGTAAAAACATATAGCAAATAAGAAGAGTAAAATTACTGAGTTCTTACATGTCGGTACGTGCTGAATATTTAGAGCCTACTGCTTTAAGAAAGTAAACTTGGTCAATATATATTCAAATAGAAGCTGCTAGAATTATTACTGGACTACGGCGTAATTCCTCAAGACAAAAACTTTATATTGAATTAGGATAAGAAGCTCTGGAGAATAGACGAAATAACATAAGCTTAAACTGTTTTATAAAATATTAAATAGGATGACACCTGCATACTTATATGAGTTAGTACAGCCATATTTTCCCGGACAAATCCCTTATACTTTGAGGAATGAAAATAATACATTTCACCCTTCTCTTGCTAGAACTAGCTCTTACTATAATAGTTTCATTCCTTCTACTATAAGACTTTGGAATAGTCTTCCTCTAAGTATACAAAAATCCCCAAGTTTGTGTATATTTAGAGGTGGACTGGAGAAGTTTTTTAGGACTGATGAAAGATTCAAACCTTTCAATTATGGGATAAGGAAACATAATATAAGTCATTGTCAACTCAGAAATAATGCTAGCAACCTAAAATCTCATTTGTTTAATCAGTTCTTATCAGAGAACACTATTTGTGCAAACTGTAATCACCCTGTTGAGGATAACCAGCATTTCTTTTTTATTTGCCCTCAGTACAATGATGTAAGACAGATTTTACTTGTTTCCATTTACTCAATTGTTGATAATGTTGACATAAATATTGACTTATTTGCTATTTTAAAATCTGTTTATAAATATATCAGTGACAATCATCGTTTTGTTTGAAATTTTCTTAATTTTTGTTGTATTTAGTGTTTACTTTATTTATTCATTTTTTTTTCTTCATTTCTTTCATTTTTTTCCCTTCAACATTAATTCATTTATTCCACTTAGGAAGCTTAGTGTCTCTTCCAAACCTTATATATATATATTTTTTTCTAATGACTTATAAAGGATATTTACATATCTCAAGTACTCGAATAAACGATGATTATTTGCATACATACTTAACTATACTTTACATTTAGTAATTAACACTGTAAATATATATATGCTTATGTGTGCTCATAAGTAGCATGCATTTTCCACTATATTGTATTATTTCAAATACAGTTGTTAATATTTGATGTATACCTTGTACATGTAATATGGAGAGAGCTTTTATAGGCTGTGCCTGTTGCTCAATCCTTTTCATATCTTTATGAATAAAATATGTTTAAAATCAAATATATATATATATATAGTCATTAAACACAGAATGACAACCTGAAATTCTAAAATAGGCCATTTCTAATAATATAAGATAGCTCTGAAGATTGGATTGTAATCAAAACTATTCGTGTTGTAATTGTAATAACTTATTAATTTTAACACGTTGTTAATGTTGACAGAGTATGTTCAATTATGCCACAGTGTAGTCTGATTTCTAGCTAAAATTGTAATGTTTTATTAGATGGCCATTGTCACAATGTATTATTGTTAAACAATGACTAAAAAGAGAAATATATGGGATTATAAAAAGTAACGTATCATCGTTAAAATGTGCACGAATGTCAATATTTATTTTGTCGCATAAACTTCATTTGCTTGATCATGCGAAACTAATGTCCTATTAAGTTTAAAGTTTCAATGTTAAAGGATTGTTGTTTTCAATGAGTACATTTGAATGTTTCATACGTAAATTGTATGTACTGCGTTGTTAAAAAATATCGTTTCTTTAGGGCATATCGCTTTGCAATGACCTTGATCTGTTTCTGTATTTCGATATTTCACATTAAATACAAGCTTCTAATGTGTATAATTTTGTGTTAGATGTAGTCTTCTAATATCTGAGAGGCGTCAGCCACAAAGATATGAGATGAGTTCATCTGATTTACATAAAGATAATTAATAATGATTTTATTTTTTCGATTGTTCTAAAAAGAGCAATTATTTTTTTTACAAAACAGGAAAAGTGTCATTATCTCAAATTATCCAGATGCAGGAACATTTTCAGAAGATGTTTGGAAGTTGGAATGGAATCTTAATTGCATCAAATTTGTACCTTATCACTGCTTTTGTATGGAAATATGAATGGCTGCACTATCTTGTCTTTTTCTAGTCTAATTTCCAAAACTTGAACTTTTTGCTAATAAATGTTAACACTTGTAGATTTTTGGGTTACATTTAAGTCTGTATGTATTATAATTGACACTTTGACTGCTTTATACGCAAGACCGTTACAGATTTATTTACACGTGTTTACAGTTTGAAATACAGGGTAAGACTGTCTAAGCAACAATTTACAAAATATATTATTCATCGGAATAACTCGTTAAAGTTGATATCAATAATCGAATTCGGCTTTTAGAATATTCAAACACATTTGAAATAAATAAATACACAATTTAAAACCATAGTAATGTTAAGCACTTTTCGAATTCTGATAAAAAGTTCCTCAACCTCACTTTTTCTCGTTTTTTTTTTTTTTGGTTCAAATGCGTAAACAGGACTAGTACCTAGGCTATAGAGAATTTTCAACATCTTGACATAATAAGGATATTAGCGGTCGGTCAATTCAAAAAGTATCCAAAGTATCAGAGACGTTGACGTATACGCATCTGGGGGAATATGCTCAAATAATTACCCTGATCGAGAGTATTACTTAAATATACCATTTTAAAGAATAACGGGGATCAAACTTTATGTCGCTGATTTATTTGCATCTGTTTATTTCTGAATGCCTCACTTCAACTTAACATATAAGATATTTATATTTAGCTTTGAAACATCAAAAGGGTACATAATCCTTAAGTCTGGGTTTCATATCAAAGATCTAAGTCTAAGTTATGTGTTATGCTTTTTAAGGGAATGAAATGTTATTCTATGAATATATGGAAATCATATCAAAGTCCTGCCTAAAATATGTTGAAATAATTTTAGCATCAAACGAGTAACTACTATTGCTCCTAACGTAATTACTATTGTTTATCTCATTTTTTTTTTCTCTCTAAAACAAATATGGTCATGTTTTTATCCAATCAAGATTGAAAAACTCTGAATACATGTACATACTTAAAACGCTAAGCCCTCTAACTTCACCATATCCCACTACTGTTGTAAAATCTTTCCCAACAACAACTAGATAAAATAATCCCATATGTACGTCAACACCGCCTGAAGTATCATGGCCCTCAACTCCACTTATGCTAGAAGTGTCACCTACAGCAATCCATCCGGGAGAGAAAGCTCCAGCACACAATAAAACTAATGTAATTATTCCAAGTATTGCTGGACACAGTTTTTCCATTTTATTTATTCTGTTGATTTATAATGAACTGGCAACGTTTAAAGTGTATATGTTATAACTGCGTTTTTAAATAACAGGTATTTCACAATATTAAAAAATATTTAACCTTAACGATTTCACCAATGTTCCGGAATGGATGATTTCATATCAATGGGACAAGAAGTTTTTCAACGTTTTACATTTAACATAAATAGGTGCAAGTTCCATTGACCTTTAATGTTGTTTATTCCCTGGGTAAAAGTAGATCTACGACTTCCTTGTGGTTAAATGGTAATGTTATATTTTTTGGAATAGGATGGTAACATGGACTTCTGTTATCCGATAGTTTTACCCGTGTTTGAATGAGTGCATTTTTGCTTAATGCGATGTATAAATACAAAATAGATATAATAACATGTCAGAAAGAGGTGGTCAATTCAATCCCCTTTGCTTGGATATGCATCACGCTCTCTATTTATGTATAGCTTTGAGCTTTGGGTTTTACTCATTGCTGAAGGCCGTACGGTGACCAATAGTTTTTAATTTCTGTGTCATTTGGTTTCTTGTGGAGAATTGTTTTATTGGCAATCATACCACATCTTCTTTTTTTTTATTTTTAGTTAAGCTTATGATGAAAACTTGGCCGCAGAAGACTACAGAACAGAACATGAGCACAATTTACAAAATATTTAATACCACATAATACATGATATTGGTAGTATATTCATCTACAATATCATAATTCAAGATATTTATTAGACATTACATTTTTATACTCCCGCAAGGGACCCATTATGGTATACCGTAGTCAGTCGGTCCGTCCATAAATAAGTCCGTATTTCAACTCAACACTTCATACATACACCAAATTTGCAGATAACAATTCACATAAAATTTTAAACTTGACGATGTTATTGTGAGTGATTAGGAATTCCCTTTTGAGTTTGATTTTTCTTTTTCTGGTAGGGCTGTCAGATTTTAGTCAACGTTGACATGTTGTAAACTAACTTGGGTGGTTCTTGGATATATGTACTTGAAATATTGAAATATTAATGGAATTGGTAAAACGTGATTTTGAAAATTTTCCGATTTATGTTCCAGAGTTATGTGACTTTAACCGTCATATTTAAAGGTGAATTTTCACCTGTCACGTACTGTCACGTACTGTCACGTACTAGCTTTAGGATAGGCGTGTGGATCAAATTACTACAAACATCATACTGTTGTTTGGATTGGTGATGAATGCAAAGTACAAAATGATTGTCCCATTGCCGACAAGCTTTTTCTGAAATTATTTTCTCAATAGACTATTTTCATATTACCGACTTTTGACTCCGGAGTATATAATTGTTCGGTATGTTACCTACTGTTTGGTAGGACATGCTGGTACTCAGTCTAGTAAGAGCAATTAATAGAAGTAAAACCTCGTTTAACAAATAACTGTTTTCCAACGATTTTGTCGAGTATAGAAAACATTAGGTCCTTTGGACTCTGATTAAGTAAATGTAAGTTAATCGGCCAATGAACTGAAAACGTTTTAAGTGCATATGTTTTTAACTGCGTTATTTAAAAATAAAAAATAATTAAAACTTTTCCATGTGGTCGGTGTTCGTTACGGTTGAATTCATTGGATTGAGGAAGGATTTTTTTAAACAATTTACATGTATTGTTCATAAGTATAGGTTCAAGTAATAATGAACTTAATTGTTGGTTATTCCATTGATAAAATAAATTGTATATCCCCTTGTGTTTTAATGTTAATGTTATATTTCATGGAATACAAACACAAACGGTATATAGACATTTGATAACATGAACTTCTCATACCCGAGAGTTGGACTCGTAATGGTATGGGTGTCTTTTGACTGTATGCAATATTCCAAATATGACATGTCAGAAAGAACTGGTTATATTCAATGTCCTTGGCTGGGAATATGTGACACTCTTTCTATTTAAGTATTTTAAAACCTTTAGGATCAGAAGGCCTTTTATAATGCAAATTAATGTTCCTATCTAACATTCATTCCTTTTTCGAACTAACTTTACAGAACTTACCTTACTGATTAATTGTCTAATTATAATAAATCTGTGGCTTCTATATATGCTAGAGATCCATATTAGGAAGGAACTCGTGTACTCACTGCAATAGATATATAGGTAAAGCAGTTGACCTATCACCTATTAACTTATTGTCAGTCTTTTCATCTGTGCAATGAAGACTTACACGGATGTGGTTAATATTAACGAATTAACTACTTCTTTTAATTGTTTTGTGTCTTTTACAGTTTAGTTTATTAGGAAAAACTCAGTCGCAGAAGACTGCTCAACAAGAGCATAATTTACATTATTTTAAATCAATACATTAGATATAACATTTGTATACGCCCGTAAGGACCGTATTATGGTATGCATTAGTCAGCCCGTCCGTATGTCAATACTTCGTACAAACACTAAATTTGTTTGAAACAATTCTCATAAAATTTTAAAACAACATTACATGAAAGCTCCCTTTCAATTTTGATTTTTATTCGGTATGTCATCTCAGAGTAACGCGACTTTAACTATATCAAACACTAATTAGGAGTTTGAATCGATCATTTTATTAAGACTACATTGTTGTTTGAATTGATAAAAGAAAGCGCCTTCCTTTACGATTTTGAATTTTGTTTTATTGGTAGTTCCAGTGTAACGGGAATTTAATTGTACGATTAAAGGCAATTTTTCACATATCGCACACTTTGTAGAGTATACTTTTAGTGATTTTAATACACGAAACTTCACGCTGTTGTTGGGATTGACAAACGGAAACTCCCTTTGATTTTTTTTCTGGTTTGTTGTTTCAAAGTAACGCGACTTACACCGTTCAAGAGACTATTTATTTTTCACGTGTTGAAACCTAGGTATGTATGCTTGAATAGATTTAGTTGAAACTTTGCACACTTGTTTGAATTGGTAAAAGTAATTAAGATACCAATTTTCCGATTTTTTTTATTCTAGAGTTATGGGACTTGAACAGTTCGATTTTATATATAGAGATGATTTTTCACATGTCACATACTAACGCTAGGATGCTTGGATCAAATTACTGTTGTTGGGATTGAAAAAAAAATAGATTAACGTTTGATTCTGAAAATTGTCTGGTCTAATGTTCGAAAGATATGGGACTGTAAACACTTATATATTTACGCAAAAGTTATTCAAGTATACTTGTCTATCGTTTGGATAAAAATTCAATGATAACCGTCCTTTATATAAAAAAAAATCATTACAAAATTTAAGCACACCTTTATCACGTTTAGATATATGGTATACTATAGAGTTATCAGTGAACTTCAACTTTAAACTATACAAGGGTTGGCGCCTTCAAACTAGTTTAACCCCGCCACATTTTGTATGTGCCTGTCCAAAGTCATTATTTCGTACATAAATAAGGCCGTTAGTTTTCTCCTTTGAATTGTTTTACATTTTGTCATTTCGGGGCCTTTTATAGCTGATTATGCGGTATGGGCTTTGCTCATTGTTGAAGACCGCACAGTGACCTATAGTTGTTAATTTCAGTGTCATTTGGTTTATTGTGGAGAGTTGTCTCATTGGCAATCATACCACATCTTCTTTTTATAACTACTTTTATATTCACATATAAAGTGATAAGAATCACAAAACCAGTTCCACAAATCGGACTAATTCTCTCATTTCTCGGTATATTTCTCTTCGCTCTCGCTCTATATAAAATTCACCGACTGCAAATATACCTTATTAGTACACTGGCGGCCTGGGTAATATAGATACTATATAAATAGTCGTTCTCAGAATCGATATGAATGACATGATACAAATATGCTCTATGCTACTGTTTGCGATTAAGTTAGTTAACAGAATTATTTGAGAACAGAGATGGGTCTACCTGTTTTTACAAAAAAAAAGAAGTTACGACGGGATAACTGTTGGGAAAAGCCGAGTGATCAGTTTATTTCCATAAACTTTAGAATAAAATGTCGTGGTCAGGAACACTCTCCTTCATATACTATATGAGATCTGACTATACAGTTGCACATTATCGATATGACTTTGCCAAAGTTCATTGGCGAATCGACCGAATAGCATCTTTGTGCACTTGTTGTTTATATAATTCTTATATGGTTTGCATATCTATACAAATACTTTAATGTGAATGGTCTTTGGTCCGTATGAAATTCCCCCTTTCGTTTACAACTCGATGACCAATGTTGCCAAAACACTTTTTTTTCTAGAGGTTATTGGTGTGTTAACTTGACCGCTGACTTACAAATTTACAAAAATGTCCTTTGGACATTTATTCAGTTTATACATCAAAAACCTCTAGAAAAAAATGTATTAATTCCTATAAGAAACCATCTGTGAGAAAAGAGTTAACTCGCTTTAACCTATTACCAGTGTTACCAGTTAAGAATACAAAATTAATCTATATATATATTAAGTGACTTTACTACAAGATTCGAATCTTAACCCTAAAAGTTTACTAAGAACGGAGTGCCCGTTTTGCTGTACAGGATGTATATATACACAGTCACACCCGGTCAGAAAGGGAATGTTAAGTCCGATGCCTCGTGTAGGAAAAGTGTTGTGGTCTCTGCAATCTTAAAGACCTTTACAAAAGAACATTAAGGGTTCTGTAGGGGGCCTGTTGAAAAATGTCTATCGCTGTCTAACATACCAAGTGGTAGTCGGTATGTCAATCCTTCAATCCAATCGACACACTTTGCTAGCGTATGTAATGGTTTTAGTGTTTATTTGTCCGCTTCCTGAAATGCATAAAATATTTGCCACCGAGCGTTTAGCAAACTACTATCATCAATCATGTAATTCATTACAATATTTTGTTAAAGATAGTAGGTTGATTCTTCTGTATCAAAAAGGTAGGTTCGGTATGCATGAATGAGACAGCAACCATAGGATACCAAAAATCAAAAAGACATAGATATCAAAATGTGGCCTAAACACAAGACCAAAAGACTGACAACAGTATACAAAACTAAACATAGAAAACTTAAACTGAACAACACGAACCCCACCAAAAACCACGGGTGACCTCAGGGAAGGCAGATCCTGCTCCACATGTTGCACCCTTCGTGTTGCTCATGTAAGTACAAACCCGGTGATAAGTCTAATTCGGTAAGTCACATTCGGGGAAAAGGAGGGCGGGATTGTGGTTAGTAAGTAAGTAAGTAGGTGCGTTTTATTTAAAGTCGGCATATATGTACATAATAACAGAGAAAACAATGGCTCTGGTGAGCTCTTTAACCGACTTTCATATAAAAATCATACAGCTTCATGCAAATACTAATAAATTTTAAAAAAAAATGGTAACGACGATTGGAACATATCCGTCGTCATCTGTGAAACAGATATTTCGTAAATATTGTCATTATCGGCTATATCGACATTGATTATTTCATGCGCGCCATCATGCAGTCATCGCCGAAATGGATATTTGCATGTTTATCTTAAAGGTGTATCAATTCATCATCGATAACAATTCGATTATGTCAATATCGACATCTTAGTACTTCTTGGACATGTATGCATATAGTTGGTATTCCCTTTCAGGATATGTGCGAAATGTCTCTTTTTATTAGAGATCGGGAGGTGGAATTCAACTTCCTCAGTTTCTCTATTTTTGCAATGAGATTTAGTTAAAGTTTTGATCAATTATGAGGGTCTGGATTGGGTTAACGGAATAGTATATTATGGGCAAAAAGTGCATAATCATAAGGGCAAAAAAAAATAATAAAGAAAAAATAGGCTAAAAAATAAAGAATAGAGAATAATGTGGTGCTACAATATAAAGAATAGAGAATAATGGGCAAAATGAATAAAGAATAGAGATAAAGAATATGAAAAATTAAAGATTTAAGAGACGAAGGACTCCCATCCAGGCCCTCAATTATGATATAGTTGATTGCAATATAGCCCCCATTTCAAGAGTTGGGATACAATTATGTTGATGTTCACAGTCGAGTAAACTGAAGTGCTCGATTGTATGCAGCGGTCCGACGGGGGCTTTTGAAAACTCCCTGAGGTTACGGTACGACTTATATTGACCTTCTTCAAAATCTGTTGTTTTGAAATGAAAATGCATATATAATTTCACAATTTATAAATAACTACTCAAACGTTTGTCATATACTTTCGATTTTAAATGCAATTATTTATTGCAATGTGTGTACCTCAATAGCTAGTTGGCTCTTCTATATGGTAAACTAAGCTATCTAGGCAAAAAAATGATTTTTATTAACAATTTTAGCCGGGGAAATTGAGAAAATAAAACAACTCTTTCTTCGGTGCTAAAATACGGTGGAAAAATTCGGACTAAGCGTAGCAATTTTCTATTATATGGAGTCAGAATTGGTATATTGGGTTGTATTCTCTTAGTGAACTCTTTATAAAGTAACCAAACATTTTTTTTTATTTATTTTTTTAAGTACAGCGAGTGCGGCGAGCGAAATCAAATTCATTTGGAACTCGGTATACTCGCAGGAACATTAATGAAACAAAAGTTAATCTGAAATAAAGGGTAAATATTTTATCTGAAATATCTTTGAAATGTATTATGCTTTAAAATTCATTGTCGACTTCATTCTGTGTTTAGTTTACAGCAATTTTTAAATCAATAATGATATTTTTTTGTATCTATTCTTTTCTTTTCTTCAAAGAATTTCAAAACAAACAAAAGTTTGTAAAATTATAAAAAGCGTGCACGTGCCATCCAGATTAAGTTATATACCATTTTATTACTATTTTCATCATTTGGGATAAATTACAAGAGTGTTTAAAGTGCTATCATCTTAATAGAAATCTGGCTCTTAGTCGTCAGGATCCGATTCATCATCACAGACAGAGTTAATAGCTTTAAAGAACCAATCTGATACCTCACCAGTAAACAAAGCTTCTTCTGTTTTATCAAGTTGTAGAAAACCATTAAATTTACAAACAGATAGGATATTTAGTGAAGACTTAGCACATCCTAGGGTAAGTTTATAATATTGTTAGTGTTAAAATATTTGAATACATTTAATTCTGTTTTACCTTTTACACATCTTTTCAAACTTGTAACATTTTTTGCCAAAAAAAAACAAAAATGACATGCAAAGGGTGTTTCCTCATTGTATAGTCCATTACCATCACAATTGCTGTTGTTTTTGTTTATGTTTGAAGTCTTTATCAGGCCTAATACTGCTTAATTGCAAAGAATTAACACGCGGTCAACGTACATGATATAATACTAGAAAATGCAAAGATGATGATTGTGTTTACATCTATTTAATGTCTAATAGATTGAAAATTATCATTAAGTTGTAAACCTGAATAAAGGTTGAAGATGTGAAGTTTATATCTCATAACAGATGGGATGCAAAGGCGGGAAATACATGTAACCCACCCTATAGTAAATTCGCGATATACCTCCTTAATTGATCATAAAACCATATGTTGTTAACTTAAATGTCTATCTAATTATTATCATGAACCGTGTAAAACGATGGTTCTGACACAATGCAACCGATATTGCAAAAAGTTAATCTATTGTTTATTAGTATCAAACTGTAACTGTAGCATCTTGCATCAATATTTTAATTTTTGAAGCTGTTTTGGCGCCATGTTGTTTTATCTGGAGATAGAAAATTGCTGTTAGCTGGTTGTAAAAATAAATCGGTTCAAATGGTGCAAACAGCGTGTGAGATGTGGCAAGATTATCAAAAGCTTTACACTCTTTTGAAAAAATACACGTAAAAAAGGTTTATTCATCAGGTGTTGCGGGTCACTAGGAAACTTAAGGAGCACCTGCTGGTTAATCGCTTTGAATATCTTCTTTTAAAAATATCATTAGGAATGAAAATTTTGAAGAAGATTATCATCTTCGCTATATGACAAAACTACGAATGGTTGATTAGGGTGAGAGGAAACGAGCAGAAAAAATGATTGGCTGTTAAGATCTGTTATGTGTTAACCATCGCATCCGAGCATGTTCACCTGTTCCCAGGCAAAATCTACGAAAACGTTAACAATATCATTATATTACCGGATCCCGTTTTTGAAAAGTACTAATTTCTATGGTCCAGATTGTTGAAACACCTTATAGATACCAAAAAAATATGGAGCCCCCCCCCCCCCCCCCCCCACCCCGGCTGAATGGGGAATAGAAATATGGTCACTTGGTCTTCTTTCGACCGGCAGTAAAACCCTTGCCATGCAAAGTGAGGCGTCCGTTTGGCTATGCTGGATGTACAAGTACGCAGTCGCGTCCGTCAGATTTGGGATATTAAATCCGATGCCTCGTGTAAAGAGAGTGATAAGCTCTCTCCACGTTAAGAACCCTTGCAACGACTCTTTGAGAGGTCCGTAGGTGGTCTGTTGCAAGATCAAGTTTCTGGCTCTATCCAATATACCATCATTTTCCAGTGGCAGTCCAAATTTCCCTAACCTACATCCATAACGGCCTTCATTGCAGGACCTAACTATTGTATTTATTATAATTTGTTCTCGTCCTGAACATGCATGAAATATTTGTCACTGGACGTTAAGCAAACAACAACCACTCAAACTTCCGCTTTTGAAGGGAATAGTCATCAGTCCAATGTCAAAAATTTACTTAATCCTATCAATGGAGAATATTAAGACACTTTGAAAATAGCCAATGGTCATGCACAGTATCTACCGATTCTCGCCATTAAAAGGACAATAGTTTAACAGCAATAAAATTGAGAATGGAAAAAGGGAATGTGTCAAAGAGACAACAACCCGACCAAAGAGCAGAATACAGCCGAAGGCCACCAATGGGTCTTCAACACAGCGAGAAAATCCCGCACCCGAAGACGTGCTTCAGCTGGCCCCTTAACAAAAATGTGTACTAGTTCAGTGATAATGGACGTCATACTAAACTCCAAAACATATAAATGAACTAAAATTAAAAATCATACAAGACTAACAAAGGCCAGAGGCTCCTGACTTGGGACAGGCGTAAAATGCGGCGGGGTTAAACGTGTTTTGTGAGATCTCAACCCTCCCCTATACCTCTAGCCAATGTAGAATAAACAAGAATAGCTGTTTAGCAGTAAGTAAAGAATTATACTAAATGTAAAACCTTTATCCTTTCAGGTATACTGATATCAATAATAAATAATTTAAGAATGGCGGTAAGTAACGTTTAAAAAAAATCTTATATTGCTAGTTGAAAAAATATGTATTGGTGCACATTTGTGATTGGACTTAATTTATTTTTTTATATATATATAGTTACAAATGTACCGCTATCGATCTTTTTCATTATAAGTATTTATACATGCAAATGAAAGTATAACATTAATTTACACACGCACCAAGATAATGGAAACAACTTGACCATGACGGTTTTTTACACTATTGCTATGGTCAGTGTGTATAATTATGTTTAATCAGCAACTCTGTGTAGGGTATTACTTCAATTCAATAATGTTAATGATCTATCTTTTATCACAAATTGCGATCGGGGAGGTAAGTGCCTTTGTTTTGGAATTTTACCAAATAACTTTAAAAATCAGATGAAGAGAAAATATGCGCAAGTACAAAATTTTTAGTGGATTATTTCAAAGTTTGTTGTATTCATTAGGTTTGGCATGCATTGAAGAAATCATTGTTACAAATGTAGAACAACAAAGTGTTTAAGTGCAATTTCTTTCCTTCGAGTATAAAAATCCACCGTTCTCTTCAATCTGTTGATCGTTCGCCAATATTTGAATAATTCAAATGTGCTTCAAACTTGTAAAAAATAAAACAGTGGTTATATACTATCTATGTATATCTTCGTCTGAACGGAAATCTTGTAAACAGTTGATTTTGTGCCAGATTTTAATGAAATGATAGCTATTTATTTTAAAATAAAAAACGTCTAAGATAGCAGAAAAATCAGTGAAATTATAAAATAATAGTAATTTAGACAAATGTTAGAATTAAGATAAATTTATCAAAGATTTATGAATATTAAGCCTTTTATTTTAAGCTAACCGTGTAACTTAAAGCTTATTACTGTAAAGTAATAAGTCACGTGTGAAAATTGCTATCTATCAGATTCATAAGGAATACACATCTTGATAATCAGCATCCTTGAAGGTATCTATTAGTCGATCAGTACATCATTACCGACAGTTGTGGTAATCCGCAAAGTCCTAAAACAGATCTCTGTGAAAACAACCTGATAAAAACTTGATATTTAAAATCTATTAATTGCTGGTGATGGTTAAACTGCATATATTTCTTAAGGATATTTAGAACAGATGTTTCACGCCAAAAGATTTTTTCTTGACGGATCTTAGAACATATGGAAAGAAGTAAAACCATCGTAAATCCATGTCCTTTCATCTGTCTTTCATTAATTATCAGAAAGAATTGTGAGATTTACGGGTTTTGTATTTTGTTTCAATAGCTGGCCATTAGAAGCGATAATTGTAATTCCGGCGAGAGATGCGTCGTTCAGGGGTTTACATTGTAAATGAACCAAAGCAAGAAGATTCTGAAGCTCTTACAGCAGGAAACGGAAGTCCGGATCACGTGTTTTTAAATAAAATGGAAGAAGAGGGAGACGATGTCCAAAATGTACTTACAGAAGAGGAAACACTACCTGTAGAAGCATCCACCCCTAAAAAGAAGAAAGAGAAAAAGAAGAGATTACCTTCAGTATACAGGTATGCATGAACAAAATGGTTACCAGTATAGTTAGCTCCTAACGTTTCTTCGTACTTATGCATCCCTCAAAAATTTAGGTTCGAGCGTTCTTGGTGAGTGTAAATCCGGGAAAGCGCATCAGTATGTAAAATTTATTAACTGTTATTTTCTTTTTCAAAACTTTCTATTGTTCAATAGCTAACAGATTAAAACGTCGATGACGATATCAATCACAAAAACTAAAATTTTTATTGTAGAAAAGTGAGCTTGATTTTTTTAAAATTGTATAGAATACTTTAGAATGTAACCAGGTAACTGTCGCATGAAAGCTAAACCTTATAATTCTTCACAATATTTATAATGGCAAAACCAATTAATAAAAACAATATTGTTAATGGCATACGTAATAATCTTAATAATAATATAACCAGTACAGACGTATATTTACTCGTATGTTTACATATGTGTTTACATAATTAAAGTATCTGATGGTGCTGATGATATCCAATTAACTCGCAATTAACAATGTAGATTGGTATTGTACATATATAAAGAACAATTATCATATAGATAATACACGCAACACGCTGCAGAACCGTCTCCTTTGGTTATTTTTGACTGATCTATTATGAATCATTGTAAAAGAAAGACATACTTTCTGGCTTTTGTACTGCAAATTCTCTAAAGCATTAACATCTTTCTATGACATTTTATAACATTATCAATGTATCCAAATTTTCTCACGGTGCATTTGACGATAATAATTGGAAAAAACTGGGTTCCATGCACCGAAGGCTTTGTTAGATCCTAGGTGAGCGGAGCATAGTTACCATACGCTGACTTTGTAGTATTGGTTTTACTTATTGTTGTTTTTAATCTGTTACGGATGGCCTATTGTTCTTCTATATCATTTTGTCTATGGTGAAAGTTGTCTCACTGGCAATCATACCACATCTTCTTGTTTTCATATTGTCGTATAAAGAAATCATTGACAGCTTACATTTATAGAAAGGTGGATGCAGAAGGCTGATAACGTTGTCTCTAATTTGTTCTGGCCTAATTGTTTCAGCTTCTTTTAACTTGTGAAATTGTTAGACCATGATACCGACATGTGTGTTTACAGGTGTTATGTGTTGTTTATCAGATACCGTAGGTTGTAGACGCTTTGTGTCAATAACATAATGTAACAATCTGAACGTTTCAATTTTATGTAATCTGCATTGTTTTTACAGTAAAAACGGAATTACTGCAAATACATCCTATTTTTAATACCTCTACTAATTTCTATGATATACAAACTGGGAAGTGCCCCTTTAAAAAGTCCCCTATTTTAATAGGAAAATATGGAAAATGGAAATGACGGTTATCCATGAACATAAACCTCTACAAAATATTTAAGTTTGCTAGTGACCATGGAACGTTTGTGTGAGTTTTCTAAAACATAATGTGCGGGTATTTTGCCGTGGTCTGTAATACATACATATACGATATAGGAATGTTTACATTCCAGGAACATGTGCTTTTAGTACAACAGCGATTTTTATATGCCCAATAACATTTATAATGAACCATAGGAAAGAATGGAATGTGCATGAAGAAGAACTTTGTAATAATGCGGTTTACATGGTATATGTAATTAGTAAAATTCAATTTTTAAAAGCGTTAATTCAATGCATTGTGTCAAGTTTCTTATCTTAAGTCTTTTAACCATGAATTTCGAAGCATTCCGTTAGTCTGTCCCTTGCTAAAATAAAATATCAATTCAAGCCCAATGAATAAAAATGTGCACCAAAATGAAGCCTTTTAACATTTATCATTTGTGTAAATAGGAGAAATCTTAAGAGCAAAATTTATTTGAGCCAAGAAAAAAATATACGCCTGTTTCGAGTAAAATTAGTTACTAAAATGGTTGGTTTGCAGTGAATATCAGTTTACGGGGTACTTGAATTATAAATACAGAAAAACTGGACTTGACGGTATTTGACCCAAAATCCTAAAAAGTGGAAAAGAAAGGGCAGGGAAATCCTACACACGCATTTTCTTTGTGGTTAAAACGAAGTCAGTTGGTATTATATTAATTAGGAATGCCACGGAATAATGACCAGTTTGGATGGTACTTTATGACGGCAGTTGGCTCCGCTTTTAATATACAACACTACAGTGGTAGTATCGTTAGCTCTCTCATTTGTTTATAATAAATCTGGAATGTCTAAGTTTGTTGATATTTAACTTATCTTTGATTGAAACATACTGGTTCGATACTGTCGTATTTATTCAAAGAAAAATGCCAGGAATTCCATGTTAACAGTATACTTGTTGTTTATTATCTGTCCAGAGAATTGAGAGATAACTTCAGATGTCAATCTGACCCCCGTACAACGTTCGATCAGCTTTATAGTACAAAGTTACAATTCGATCTATGAGTTTGACTGTCCCTCTGGTATCTTTCGTCCCTCTTTTACAAGATACCGAAACCAATTTGAGAGAGTTTATATAAAATAATGTCTCGCCAGTGATGCTCGAAATATTTTGGAAAATAGTAAATGTTGAAAAGAAAAAAACTCAAACTTTAACTAAAAAGGGGACGTCAAAACCAGCCATAAAGAGCACAATGTGCATTATAATAAATTTGATCAATTTACTTTGTGATAAGGTTAATGGTACCAATTTTAATGACCAAGATGCGCATTTCGACAATTAATATATCTTTAGTGATGATCGAAGTCAAAATATTTAAAAATCCAAAACTTAATACTAACGTTGAAAAGCTGATTGATTGATTGATTCTGTTTATTTCCTCCATTATACTGAAGATTTACATTTTCAAACACAAGTATACTAATTACAAGAAATGAACAACATATAAATACAGACTACAATTAAAGCACACACAAAAAAAATACATTTTACATATATATGTATATATGTACATGCTACATTTGTTTGATGCAAATATTTTAGTGTCCAAAATTAAGCCTATGCTCAGATAATTCGCCTTTAAATTTTCCATACAGATGAAATATATGATCTGCCAAGCAGCACATCATGTTTCTCCAGTTGTCAGAGATCACAGATTGCATAAAATCTGTAATGCCACTAAGTAAAGCTACGATTATATTGCACTATCATCTTGCTGAAAAAAGCGTACAGATTCCCGGACTGGTAAACCAAACTCGGAAAACTCCTTTACATATATGTACTGTTCATGTTGACCTCTTATTATTTTCACAGCAAATGAATGTTATTGAATATTTCCTAGCTTTTACAGTCTTCGTGTGCGCACAGTGACGTTCTAACAGCATTATGACTGGTTATTACCGAATTATCTATGCTTAAAACTGAGTTAAAACAGCATTTGTTTTAAGATTTTAGCATAAATTTATTTCACAACAGGGTCATTAGCAAAATGTCTTTCAATTAATATTATACTAAAAATCATAGTATTACAGCTTCGTGTATGTATGTTTTGGTTCATATAATTGCCTAAAGATATCTCAAACTGCAATTTTGAAAGCTTTCAGAAAATTGACTTTTTATCCAAATTTGAATGTTAGATTTTCCTATTTGGTCATATGAAAGGTTAATTCGCAATTTCTTATTTTGAGGAAGAATAAATTTGATACTGTCGATAAAAAGGTTACATCAGGTAGGTTTATGTTTTTCTATTTGGTGTGGACCTCAAATGAGTAAGTTCGGTAAGGGCCAAATTTGGCCCCGATTATTAAGTTCAATGTTTCAGGATTAAACGTGTTTTAAGTTTGCTAAAAGACCTGTGAGAAAGTTAAATAAAACTATTTTTGCCAAAGTTTTATTTTCAAGCATTGATTTTAACATCCCAAATAGGTTAAAAATAGAGATTTTTGCGATATTAGACAAAATCGTCCGGATTTCAACCAAATTAAGACCTAGGAAACATAGAGCGCAGGCGTCGACAAACAAAATATTCAAGTCAGATATGTAAAATTTCATAACAAACATCAGGCTAAAATTTCTTTGTTGTCGACGCATGCGCTGTATGTTTCCTCTCCAAAAAATCAATGTAGATTTATCCGTTTTCATCGAATTTTCGCGGAAAATCAAAATGAGTGCTATTTTTGACGTCATGAATAGAACGCAAAAACATAAATTTTCAACAAAAAGACGTTTTTCCAATCTAGTCACTATATTACCTATGATCCTTGTGACATTGGTCAATAAATCCAAATTTCAAATTTCAGCTAGAATTAGAGGCCATTTAAGGGCCTTATCGAACCTACTCCTTTCGTATTTTTATCGTTTCTTTGTTCGTTTTGTTTGACTAACTTAATATAACTAAAACATTTCATCAGTTCTTTGGTTTTTTTATGTTGTTAAGAGATTAAAGTAATCTGAACCATTATTATATAGACAGAAGCCATGGTAAACAATTAAATGAACAGAAACAGACATGAATTTTTATATTTTTCTAAGATGATGTTAAGAAACATTTATTATCAATTTTGAGAACAAGAACATTCCATTATATACTGTTAATGATTTTTGAAAAAGAATGTGTTAATTGTCTATTGCAAGTAATAGGTAGTCTCGTCGACATGATGTAATAAGTCATCTTTATAATTCTTTTTCGATTGATGATGGCGTTGTTTTTCCAGTGTCATAATTGGCTTTCATTTGGAGGTTCGCTCTTGAATTCCTTTTCCCACAAGAGTAATTATCAAAAATGATAATTCTACAAACCAGTGGAGGTCGTTTTTCTGATGATTTGTGTTGAGATAGCATGCAAAAGTTGACGCGACTCCAATTAAGGGTACCGTGCCGGCGTGCCATGCATGCTTGATATCCCGTTTTGACCCCCACAATGAGGCAATAATTTTTTTTGATGGATTTTTGATGTAGGTACGGTAAATGATTTTATAGAGTATTCCTGTTTTCTCTCTAGAGATTTGTAGATGATTTTCTTTGTAAAGTTGTTTTGCGGTTAAGTATTTAACTATTGTGGGATGTGAAACATCTTCTAAAAGCATCGCAAAGTAGGTGAAAATTAATTACACGTGCAACTTTATTGGTTTTCATTACTTTATATTCAAGTAACATTCGTAGAAATGGACGTGAATAAACACTGGAAAGCAATTGCAAAGTAAGTCTCAGAATTATATAAATAAGTTGACATACTAATAACAAATTTTAATAAACAAACGACAACATTATGACAGAACTTCAATTAAAAGTGTAGTAGTATACTTTAAAAAGATTGGGTATGAAGCATATAGATGTTCATGCAACAAAAAAGAGGCGGAATATACCAAGTGATATTCAAACGTATATAAGTCGAAGACAAACTGACCACACCATCGCAAAAAAAGAAAAACGACAGAAAGACAAACCGCATAGAAGACTGAGCAACACGAACCCCACCAAAAACCGGTGTGATCTCCGGTGATCTGGAAGGGTAAGCAGATCCTGCTCCACATGTTGCACCCGTCTTGTTGATCTGACAAAATAAGGAAATAATCAGTATATCAAAGAAATTTTTTTTTAAATAAAATTTGTTATTCTTTATCTTGACGGTAGTTGGAATCTATTGAACGACCTTAACGGTATCACACCTTACATCAAGGCCAAACGATCCCTAGCGCTGCTAGTCATGGGTCTAATTTTGGAATTGTTGGTTTCAACCCTCATCAGCTTTATAATGCATTTGGTCATCTAGCTGTTTTTATTAGAGCGCCACTAACGAGTCTTTCGTAGACGAAATGTGTATCTGGCTTGGCTTACTGAATCTCAAGCCTCATATTTTTGGTGAGTTTTTTTACTTTACATTAAATACATGCGGGGGCGTATAAAAGCAATAACAGCAACAACCTCTTCTGTAGAGCGTCTGCTCGGCTGTGGGGATATAATCTAGTGCATAGTCATGCCCTATTTCAGTTGCTAGCTACACTGTCATACACATTTGAGATGTGGTGCCGTAAACGTTCAATCATTTCCATTCATTTGAACAGTACCTGTACCAAGTCAGAAATATAAGTAGTTCTCCAATTGCTTCAATAATAAAAGTTAAGTGAAACTGTTCCCGAATTTGACCTTTATTTATATGGATTCGTTTTATACACTTTAAGGTCAAGTAATTTTGCTACTGCGTATTAATGCTTATAAAAGTGTAGATTAGTTCATATTTAAGTGGAGATTTTTTCTACAAACCTTCTTTAAACATGTTTATAGCTTTTGATGAAAATGTCGTTAAAGCCAGGATACAAACTGTACTTTTTTTATTCACAGCAAACATTAAAATTAGAATATGATATGATTTTACCTTAAAGGTAATTGAAAGTTTATATATTGAACTGTACACTTAGTTTTGAACAAATGTGTTGCAAGCTGCAAAATAGCAAAGTACAATGTATAACCAGAGACATGCATGTATATAGACTTGCTACATGTCCCTTCCTAATTTATTTATTTATTTATTTATTTTTCAATTTTACCTCTAACAATTTACTGCTAGATTGCCATTATATTGACACCTGCAGAGAAACTGGGGCATTCAGTATCATGGCAGTTTTCAGTAAACATATAAATTAGTAAGAAAGAAATAAAAGAAAGGGAATTTTAGCAAGTCTAGCATGTATAGTATTTTATGTTATTTTTGTCCTTGTTCTTTCACAGAGCATGTCTTAGGCTTCATTAATGCAAAATAGTGGTAGTTTTATTTTTAAGTGTACTTTTAAGATGTGATAATTTTTAAACTCTTTTATTTTTAGATCTGCACTTATCAAGCTTGTATGTGGAGTGTACGCCTTAATCATTATTGTGCTAGGACTTGTGTTTTCTATAGCTTCATCGTTAACGGCAGAGGAAAGGGTTCATAAATATTACCTTGAGGTATGGTTTAAGCAGCTTACTACTGTTTGTAAATTCGTTTATACTCTGTCCTACACAAGGGAATAATATGCTTGTATAGTAATAAAACAATGATCAATACAAACTAATTAAGATTCTATTTGGTTAAATCTACAGACAACGTGTCAAGATACTTTTAATTATATTTACCTTTCTTTAGTAATTTATTTCTACATTTCCTTTACTTTTTGCACTACCGGCTCGGAACGAACTTTGGAGATGTTAAATTGATATGGTTTGAGATTAAGATCTTCTATTCTATGTTGTTGCCATGTTTGTTTAAATTCTTTTTGATTTTCTTATTCAGGCCTTCCTAGTATACTTGTATGTTTTGTCCCTTGGAATAGTTATATATTTTCAACTATTTCTGTTGAGTGGAGTTAAAGTGAAAACAAACTACTTCGAACCGAACATCCGGGTAACAGTAAAACAAGATGGCAGTGCCAGTGTACAAAAGTCGCCAACAGCTTCGCCGTATCCCGGAAGAATTACAGAAAATAACCACGAAGAAAAATCATCTCTTACAGAAGATGTTGAAAGAAATGGGGACCAATTATCTGTGGGAAGTTATCACAGTCATTTCGAAATGCCACCAGTTGGAGGCGTTGCTCATGTCGGCGAAGGAATAAATTTCTATCTTCGCCTTGGTGCTTTAGGTATACATAAAGATATAATGAAGTAATATTCAGATCGCTAATTATTTATGTCTACATTTTTGTGAAGATGCTTACATTGTCAGTTGGTCCTAAGTAAAGATTACAACATTACATTTCATAGATTATTTTAAATTTTCCATAGATATTTTGTAGATTTTATTTGAAATTTTCCAAAGATATTTTGTATTTTTTCTGTCTATTAAGTATCTTCAGTGGTAAATATAAGGAACAAATTTTCTCATGCAGTTGTCATTTATATTTCAGCTTTTGCCTTCGGGAGTGTAACTCTGGATGGTCTTAACATTGCCACATATTTTGAAACACAGATGACAGAAACATGCGAGAGCCAAATATTTATCTTGGTGTATGCACTCCACCTATTATTCACCTTCGTTCAGACATTTTTCTTGTTCAAGAACCACAAGGTACAAATTTTAATGGAAACTCGTGACTGTTTATTGCTATACTACTACGGGGGTTAGGTGCTTGCTACCCATGAAGGTCTCGAACGGTCCGTTTAGTAGAACTATTAGATAAGCCATATTGTGTTATTTTTCAATGATTTAAACCAAAATAAAGAAATCAGAAGCACAGAAAAACAATGACGACCATCAAAATATCCATAAATGAGGATTACAAAAGTATCAAATCATCTTTTAAATAGTTAACATTTTAAGGGAGAAGGTTTGATAAGAGCCATTATTTGGTACAATGTACGTTAAACTGCAAACACAACAGGAACAAGTTTCAATCTTTCAAAATTGCGGCCTTGTTTTTGCTGATTTATCATATGCATATTTATATTTTTCATTTTATTTGGACAATCGACATTTATCCAATATATAAGATATGTGTTGCTTCAATGGTAATAGATCAAACGAAACAATCAATTAAAAGACATCTTTTAACCCCTTCGCCCCAATCCCGCCTGTAGTCGTGATGGCGACCACCATTCTTTGATGGCCTGTATAACCCTCCATACTTTTTCAGAACTGTCCCAGCTCAACTGCCTTTACAGCATGGACTTTAACCATGCAATTCATGGTGCATAAACTCTTCTCAGATGTGTGATTATGAAAATATGGCAGCTTTAATGGCCTTTTTAGACTTCAAAATAGGAAAAACGTGTAAAGTAGCCAAAATCAGGTGGGGTGGGAGTCTTTTTATGGCGCACTACGTAACAGGTGTGGGCTGTAGGTATCAACTATTATCATAATTACATGCATAGATGGAACAGGAACACAAGGAGGTATAATATGGCCAATAAAAATGTGGTCTGTAAAATCTAGGTCAGCGTTTTGTCAGAAATCGGTAAAAACGGACATTTAGGCATACTTGGCTAGCCAATAATAATTCCCCAGCAAGATTCTCAAGTCACATTTACTTCCATTCAGTATGGATAGACTGCTGTAACTGTAAGGTACTACTTGAATGACAAAGAAACAGTTTAGTCAATGTTCACCTCTCAAGGTCGTATTAAAATTAAAAAATAGACTGAAAATGACCTTTTTTCAGTAGGGGTGGGTTGAAACCCACCAGAAAATATACCACTTCCCACCCCATCCCCCATCCATGCCATCAATACAAGGTTTAATAGATCAGCATCAGTTACAGCATCAAGAGTCTACTAATTTGCATATAATTTGAATTAGTTTGCTAATTTTCGAAAATGCCTGATTTTCCAGAAATCTCTTGGGGTCGAATGAGTTAAATGTATATCCATATTCATAAACACCGATCGAACAACCATCAATCTGATCAGATTATTTTTCAGTTAGTATTCTAGAGTTACATCCAAATCATGGAACATATAAAACATCTGGCTTAATTATGAGTAAAACAATACATGCATTCGAATTCACGAGATCAATATTCAGATTTATGATAAAAAATGATACGAAAGCTTTGCCTAACATTGCTTAATATTACTACGGTTGATTACAATTTTAAATAACATTCTCCATAATACAGACGATACTTAACAAGTATCTTTGAGAGAAAGACAGAAACAATTTAAGCCATACACTAATTGCAAATATGTATGATTTATCACTGTATGGTCTCTAGCAATGAGTGACAGATCCTCTGGTACTGAGTTTATAAGTTTGTTTTTTCATATCTTTTGTTTGTGCTTTGAATCGTAGAATACAAATATTTTCGGATTGTGTTCTATAAAGTTAACTTACCTTCAATTTTTTAGCAGTCTTTTAACGAAAGAATCGGTAACTGTAAATCAACAACCTCTATATTCTCAAATGAAATAAACCCGAATTTCTTATTTATTTATTTTCAGCTTGTTATTGACAAGAGTAAACCAATTGTACGGTTTGGAATGATGCACTTAATGGCAACCAATATATGTGTTGTTATTGTAACTATCATTACGGAAACTGCCGAAGATTATCGATTTGATTCATTTGCTGCTCTGAATATAACATCAGGTATTTGTCACAAGTCTCATGTGATTATTCGGTTAAATTATATTTAGCAATCACAAAACAATCATACTATCTCTTGCATATTTTCACCAAGGATTTGTATAATACTATACGGGGGGGGGGGCTAGTATGATATGAAGTCGGATTCAAACATATCAATTTTGTAAAATAAGAATAAAAATATTTGAATTCCACCAGAGACTAAATGACGTCAGAATGGAATTACATTTGTTTTGATCTATAGTCAGGAAAGAGGTTGGACAAATTTCCTCTGAGTTCATTTCTCTCACAAAATCTTTCAATATTAACTTACATTCACAGTATCACAGCTAAATGTGTGTACTATGAAGTTCTCAGAATAGTTTTGCCAGAAATCAATATTATAAACGCTACAAGATAATCCAAAACCGCTAAATGATAGTGGGATTTGACATTTTAAGATGTCAGCCCTGTGTCAGGCTGTGAGTGAAACACATAAGAGGACAAATTGGCCCTACCTCTCAACGATAAATCTAAATGACCAATATAAAAATAAGAAGATGTGGTATGCAGAGGCGGATTTAGAGGGGGCAGGGGGCCCGGGTCCCCCCTTTTCTGGGAAAAAATTGGTTGATTATATATATATATATAGAATCACTGAAGCATGACCGGAGCGGGGCCCCCTCTTATGCAGTCAGTGGGCCCACACTTATGGAAATTTCTGGATCCGCCACTGGTATGATTGCCAATGAGACAACTCTACACCAGTAACTTGTTTTGTTTTCTATGAATGCATGGTTGAATATTTTAACGTAACATAAAATACATTTTAACGTTCTTGTTGTAGGTCTTGTAAAGAGCTGCTACGAGGAAGTCACACTAGCAAGATCAGCATCTCCATACTTATTTCCTTGTACAATTATTTACAGTATAATTGCTGCTGGGATAATTTATCGTTTGTATCAGTATATTGGAAAACGAGTCAAACAAAGATGGCCGAGTCATACATCCTTGACTAGCTCCGTTCCTGCTGGTGCAACGTCAATCGATTGCGAGAAAGCAAACAAAGGATTATTTCTCGGTATGCTAATTGCGGTTGTCACCCTTATTGCGATTGCCACTTTCTTTGTTTTTGAAAGTAGAATAAAGGACACCAGTACGGCCATTAAAATCCTTTTCACTACGGAAATTGTTCTCATGGTGATAACAAGTATTGGAATTATCTGGGGATATGTCCGTCTGGCCAAACTGAAATTTCTACAGAACATGTTCTTCTCTGTTGATTCAGTGCTTCTGTTGGTTGCACTATCCGGGTCGTTCATTTACCTTTTCTTCACGTTGATTTCGGTGTGTTCGATTACTCAGTCGTTCGATTCTGTTGTTATTATCAACCTGGTAACAATAATACTATCGGTGTGTCAGATAACTGTTCAGACAGTTTTCATACTTGATGGATTATGTCGCTGCTCTAAGAATGATGACCAGTGCGCAGCAAAACCTGGACGCGCTGTGGTGACATTTTTATTAATATGTAATCTGGCGCTTTGGTGTGTTAGCATGTTTGAAGTGAAGAAGACAAAAGTATTATGGTTCCATGATGAATTTTATGGAAAATTAGCTTGGAATATCATTACTCATCATTGCGTACCTACTGTAATTTTCTTCCGTTTCCATTCAGCTATCTGTCTCTCTAAAATCTGGTACAATGCTTATCAGAAAGAAAAGGCGTCTTAGCTTAGCAATAATGAATGCAAACAAAATACATAAATGGCATATGACAATTTTATAATGCCTAGAGGCAGCATTATGACATTTCTTTACTAAACATTTTACTGGAGGAAAACGGGCAAATTAAACTTTTGGATATAAAACATTTTACACATACTATCAATGCAAGAACTATTTTATTGACAATTTCTTAATTGTATGATATTGAAAACATTTCTTTGAAATTTTGTTTATATCAGTATACAGGAAAAGTGACGATTTATATGATTAACTTTGAGTTGAGAAAAATATGTATATGCTTCTCTTTTCATTGGCGCGTGTATATATTTGGTGGATTAAGATGAAAGCAAACGTTGCCTTGTTTACTTTATCCAAGAAAACTTGAGAAAAATATGCATATGTTTCTCTTTCATTGGTGCATGTCTCTATTTGTTGGATATAGATGAAAGCAAACTGTCACGTCTGTGCCTTGTTTATTTTATCAAGGAAAACTATGTATATCAACTATAAACTGTAGATTTTGTATATATAGTTGACGTTGTTTTTCATTATTTATTCCTATGTATACTGGCAAAATCTATCATGTGTGGAAGACGGAAAGACAGAAGACATTTATATGATTGCAGTCATTTCTGTGGAATAAACACTTTTGAAATGACTATTTCTTTACCGAATATCAAACATTTGTCAAATGATGGTTTAATAGAGTTCAATACATATTTTAAATTTCTTAAGTTAATTATGCAAATTGAGAATGAGTGTAACCAAAGTTCCGACGTGATTGAATGTTTAACCTGGCATCCTGGCCAAACGTCCTCTTCGTGTCAGTACTGTCGAGTAGTGAGCGAGGATCCCAGGCTATTGGATGTTTAATGAGAATGAGTAGTTCGAAGTGTTGGAATGTCCATTTTCATTTGTGTTTTGTAAAGAGCTTTTGATTGCTTGTCATTTGGATACCACCAACTTGTGTATGAATGTACTCTGTTGCATTTACCTCAAATCATGTCAACTTTAATAGTTTAGATCCATTATAAATATAAATACCGGTATTAACTGTATTTTTATGTAGTTCATAATTTGTATTTTTATAACAATAGCTTAGAATAAATTATAAATGTAGACACATTGTCCTTTAAATGCTTTTTTTTCATATATAAACAGAGTTAATCTTGAAATAAAACGAAATGTGTTTATTCATGATAATGTTCCAACAATTATGCAAAGACACGTGAAGACTATTGCAAACAATTTCACACATATGAGCTATTCTCTTGGAATTCAATCAAAAAGGGCGGAATTATGTGTGAAAAAAGGTTCAAATGTGACATAATGATACTCTTGAAATATTTTCTACCACACATCGTTAAGGGACGGCCATTTGATTTTCTGGGGATAAAGGGGGAGGAACATTTGGGATTAAATTTGTTGGCCTAGTAAAAAAAGGAATTTAATAATCTTGTCCAAGACATGATCAATAATATTCGGCCCACATCCTATAAATGTGTACAAAATCGAAAACTATAAGCCTGCCTAACAACATGTGAAAAGATTCTCCAGTCCCAATCTATGAAAAAGAAAATCATACAGTCCTACACACAGCCCTCAAATTGAAAAGTTTTACACAACTACTGTTAAGATAAAAACAACATAAAACTCTTGTGGCTGTGAACATTCATTAAATGAAATTTGTCAAATTTGTAATTTTATCAGTAAAATTAACATTACACAGGTTGGGTCGGTTCAGATATCTTGCTAGCTACAGTGATAATTTCTGCATCCTTTGTGAGGTGGACTGCATATGGTCTTCCCCTTATATGTAGTCAGCTTTAAGAAGTAGTATACATTGAATTCCATTCGTCGATTCGTCAGAATTGTAAGATTAACGCGACCATCAGCATTTGGAATTTAAAAAAAAAATCTCTCCAAAAAACCTGCAATGTTTCCTGCACGTGCTCGGTTTGACCTCACATCTGTAAGAGGTACCACACAAAGGTTTGGTGTAATTACAATTTACATTGTGGTGTCATTCTATGTTATATTGAATTGGTTTTGTCAGCTTAGATACATCAGTAATAATAATAACTTACACTAAGAAGTAATTAAGCACAGCTCTCGCGCTGTTGTAAGGTTAAGAGAGCACATTCAATTATCTATAGAAAATATCTTTTAAATGAACTGCTTAATGGAGGCAAAACCTGATTGATATATGTTCGTGATTTGTTCATTTCGAATAATTTTTCATAGCTTTATGGCACTTGAAAGACATTAAGAGCTTGCAAGAATTTCAGCAATGGTGATAGCTTTAAAGATTCATAAATTTCTTATCTGCAAAACGTGGCAGCTGTAAACATCTTCAAAGTTGTATTCCCTTGTCGGTCATCAAGGAAATGCCTGTTACAAAAACTGATAAAAACAGGCAAATTTAGAGGAAGAAATATTATCTGGACAAGATAAGCGAGCAACTTTATCAAAAACTTCATGTTAATTATGTTAGCCATAAACTATATTTTCGACATAAAATTATTTATCAATATCATATTTAGCTGTTTATCTGTGTGTATCTCTACCAGCTGAGACTGACTACGGCATCATTTTACAAGATTTTAATAAAAGATTCGACATGGTCGCTTGCTATGATTAATTAGATGATAAAGCTTCTGTTTTACACACAAAATTCTCTATTTCTGAGCTGAACTACCAAACTTTGCAAAATAATCCGATATATAACAATCTTTCAACTTTCTTTAAAACTTACGGATTAATCTGTTTTTATTTTACGTTAATTGCATCTCCTATGAACATTATATTCAGTAGAGTGAGAAACGTTTCCCTTAGTTGCTCTGACTGACGTTCTGGTGAAGTAAGAACCATACAGTCAAATAAAATACCCTATGTTTAAGACTGTGTCAATGTGAACCAACCAACCACAAATATAAGTTGAATTTATTTATGTAATGATTACAACTCATTAAATTTACAGGTAGACGACTATAGGTAAAAAGCGCAAATGCCCGGACAATTTGATACAGGTGTATCAAAATTTAAAGCGCAAATGTCCTATCGTGTTACAGGTAAAAATGCGCAACCGTCCTGTGCCCATTTTCGCATACAATATCAACAATGTAGTGTTTATACCTGTATATTCTACATTCTGTTCCAATGGGATTCCTGTTTATTAGAAAATGTGCATTGTGCTAATAGATTATGTATGATGTAGTTCACTGTGTCTAAACTACTCCGGCGAAAAATGTTTGGACTCAATAGTATCTAATGTCCGGTACGATGACGGACGATCAACAGACAGAGAAAGGTAGAAATTCTGTTTATTTATATGTTGTTTTAATTGTATTGAAGAATATACATACACATATAACTATTTTCGATAGTGTGATGTAATATTTTCTACAACCGTTCTAGATTTATGGAGAAATAAGTAAAAAGGCACATCAAAATGGTGAATTGAGTGAACCCTGCCTCGAATTTGTTTAATTTCTCTTTAAATTGAGCACATTGTACGGAAAGAAATGTACGGAAAAAAAGATATTAACTCGGCGATTTCAAGACTTGTCACTATGAACACCTCAATATTTGCATGTCTGTGCATGGAATGAAAGAAGTGGGTCATGTCAACATCGAAGCACCCGGTTTTGTCAATGTGTACGACCCGGTTTTGTCATAGAAAATAATGCATAATCGCATGACGAAAATTAAAATATGGCGTTCAACACCAGTTTGAGGGATCGTTGAAAAACATTTTCTTTTAGAGGATAACTTATAACCTTTTTGAATCCGCAAACACTTGAATTCCTGCTATATTAGAACAAAGCAAATTTCAATTTTGTTTTGTATAAAAAAAAAGGAAAAATTAAAAAGAAATGAAGGTTTTGTAACGCAATTAGATTTTTTTTTATCAACTATGTAAATTTAAGTGTTCAAACTTAAATAGTGTGCGGCCTTGAATATTTAAGGACGCACATTTGATATGTGATTTTCTGGGACAACAAGATGGTTTTCTTAGCGTTCCGCGCTCTACTTAAAGGGAGAGACAGTATGATCGTTTGAAAATAAATATTCTGAATCTAAACGTTCATTATAACGCAAGAGAATAAGAAAAATGTATATGCATGCAGAATCGCCCAAGAAAAGGAATTTCCATGCGGCGCTAAGGATCACTGACAATAATAGTGCGTTAAAAATCTGTTTACACCTCCTTGTTACAATAATTCTAAGTACAAGTTAGTATAATAGTCGTAGGCCATCCGGAAATTGCAATGATGATTATTTGATTAGTAATTTTATAAATAAACGTTGTTTTATCTCTTTTTTTTTCTTCTTTTTTTTTTTTAAACATTAACAAATTCTTTAATGCACTAGTATCAAGTTGTTAACAACTGCCCTATATGTACAACTATTATATATAGGTTTATCTCTTCATTGTATAATGAGTATCGTTCATTGACAAATGTTCTACAATTTAAGCACGTTAGTCAAGTTTAAAATTGTCAATATGCAAGGGCGGACCGAGGCCATGATTTTTGAAAGGGGCGTATTCATAAAAGGATTTTATACCGCCGAGCGTAGCAAGGGGAGCTTTTATTTAACGATGTTATGCTAAAAAAATCATATATAAATCGTAAAAAAACATGATAAAATAATTATTTCTAGCCACAAAAAAGGGGGGTCGGCGTACTCCCTCTACCCCCTGGATCCGCCACTGATATAATGTAACTATATCGTATACCATCATAAAATTTAATAAAAGACGAAAAAACAGAGACAGTCGCCAATCGCATATTTACTATAGGGGCTCTGTAATCAAATGAGTTAAGCCTTTTTCAACTCACTGATTTTTTGTTCATATGTTGTGCTGTTATACCAGTTTTTTTCTTGTTTGTTTATTTTTTTTTTTTGGGGGGGGGGGGCGCTTACACGTTCAACCCCGCCATTCTGTATGTGCCAGTACCAAATCCAGGAGCCTGTAAATCGGTGGTTGTCTTTTGTTGCTGTATATCATACATGTATTTGTTTTTCGTTTTTTATTTTGTACATAAATCAGGTCGTTAGTTTTCACATTAGTTTTTTTTTACAGTTTTCATTTCGGGGCCATTTTTAGCTTGCTATGCCGTATGGGTGTTTCTCATTGTTGGATGCCATACGGAGTTCTATATTTGTTAACTTTTACGTCATTTGGTCTCTGATGGAAAGCTGTCTAATTGTCAATTTTCACGGGCTAAATTGCCACTTAGGTTGTTCTACGAAGACGAAGACGAAGACGAAGACGAAGACGAAGACGAAGATATTGGACGTTATAATGTTGCAAACCAACTTTTTTTTATAAAAAGAAATAATTCTTTCATGCCATGCTCAATGCTCATTTTAACATAGGTAGGCATTATATTTGTAAAATTTTTTAAACCAAGCGTTAGCAAGGTATAAAATATTGACAAATATAATGCCTACCTACCCATGTTAAAATGAGCGTAGAGCATGGCATGATATAATTATTTCGTTTCTATTAAGGAAGTTTAGAACTTGTGTATTTTGAAGCGGACATAAAATACACGTTCGAAAGGCAACCATTTTGATTTGAGATATCCAAAACGTTCTAATAGATATAAGAAGATGGGGTATGAGTGCCAATGAGACAACTTTCCATCCAAGTCACAATTTGTAAAAGTAAACCATTGAATGCTATATGTATACCTTATTGAACTTATCTTCGAACTAAATTTAAATGGAAATAAATAAAAATGTCAAAGTACGGCCTTCAAAACGGAGCTTTTTCTCTCACTGTCCGTCAATGGATGAACGAATGAGTAAATATATTGTAAACATAGCGTATAGTATAGTAAAGTATACTATCCTTACTCTTTTGATAAATTGATATGGTAACATACATCATTACAGTAGTATAGAAAATAAACAAACATTTGTGAGATGTATTTTTATTTGTATCCACCTGATGAGTTAAGCCTTTTTCAACTGATCTTTATAGTTCGTTCTTATGTTGTACTGTTACACCAATTTCCCAGGTAAGGGGGAGGGTTGGGATCCCCCTAACATGTTTAACCCCGCCATATTCCGTATATATGTTACTGTCCTAAGCCAGGAGCCTGTAATT